CGACCTCCGGGGCGAGAAAGCCCCGTTCGTAAGTGCGGATCCGACGTAAGTCGGATCCGCGTAAGTCGGGGACTGCCTGTATTTGACAATTAAATATAGAAGCAACTTATGTTCCTACATAGAAATTATGTGTCTGATACTGCAAGGTATTGAATATTTTCTGGATGTTGCAAGCTCCCTAACCTCTCATTGAGGGAATAGCTCAGAGTCTTTCACGTTTGAGTAATATGTCATATATACATGCATACATATATTCACAAACAAAAAAAGGATAGTAGCATTTATGTATTGCTCCCTGTTTGTTTATCTGACTGCCATCTTTTCCCAGTGATTTTGTTGTCAGTTTCACCATTCCAGGCTGGGTAAGCTGTAATGCTATCTGCATGTCAGTAGGCTGTCCCACGTATTAAAGATACATTCTGTTTCCAAGTAAATCTGTGGTCATCTTTTTTCTGTCAGCACAGGATCAAATTCAAGTCTCTGTGCACAAGCATTGTCCTTGTATGCAGTGGGATATGTGTGTTCTCATAGCCAAGATCATAACATGCACCCTTTTCATAGTGCATTTAGTCATGATTGGTCTAAGAGCAGTCTTGATTTTGCCGTTATTCATATCATTTCCATGTAAATTTTATCTGAAACCTATACTTTTTCATTTGCCTAGCTCTCCTCTGCTGTGTACCATGTTGACCAATATTATACAATTGTTCTTTTGTACCTCCCCATTCTTCGGTATCCATTTCTTAGCTCTTGTCTTATACTTAGCTTTTAAACTACTTGGAGCGGGTTGCCAGGTATCTACCAAACACCCAGTCAAAAAGGGATCCTCTCCAATACTCCCCAGCCTGGTAAAAATGAGTAAGTAAGAATAAGGGAAGAGCAAGCGATGAGGGCAGGGGCGAAGAGGGCATGAGCAGGTCCTCGGAGAAGGACAAGGCAAGGGAGTTCAGTTTTGTTCAGTCTGAAAGTTGGCAACCATAAGTCTCTTTTATTCCATGTGTGTCCAGATCCTAGCATAGTGGGGACCTGGTACATGACTGGGTCTGCTAGATTCTACAGTAATACAAATAATAAGCAATAGGAATAGGATGAAGTATGGTCTAGTGAATAGGACATTGGACTGGCACTCTAGATACCTGGGCCCCATTCCTGATACAGGTATTCTGTGTGACCTTGTTCAATCTCTTATTCTAATCTGTACCTCAGCGCTCCATCTGGAAAATGAGGGTAATATTTCATTTCCTCCAAAAGGTATTGTGAAGCTGAAATCCATTAATGAGTGTGTAGCACTTGGACACCCCAATCCCCAGCCTTGAGCCTCTCCCATACCCTAAGTCTCTAACTCCCTCCCAGACCCCACACCCATGCCCCCAAACTACTGCCCTGTGTCCACTCCAAGCCCAGAGCACCACAAATGCCTCATTCCCAGAGCCTGCATTCCCAGCTGGAGCCCTCATCCCCTTTCACACCCACTCTCCTGCTTCAACCCACAGCCCCCCTCCATACTGAACCCCACATATTTGGTCCCACCCATAACCTGCGAGGCCTACAGATTCTAATAGCTCCAGGCCCCAGAAGAGTTGATGCAGCACTGGCCATTAGAAATAGATAGATAATGAATTCTGGGATACAGTTTTTATGAAAGATGCTGTACAACAGAAAGTTGTTTCAAATTATACTCTGTGGTAGTGTATTTTTTAATAAAATTGTGTTTCATTAAATTGAGGAACTCATAGTTCTAAATACTTTGTCCCTGGAGACATTAGCTGATCTTTTGGACAATACTCAATCAATTGCATCTTCATTCTGACTGGGAACATCCCTGCTCCTCCAGTATCCAGGCTTTTCTGAGCTAAAAATGTCAGTTGTTTTCTTTTTTGTGTCATTTCTGTGATATAAACAGATAAGAACATAAAAACAGCCGTACTGGGTCAGACCAAAGGTCCATCTAGCCCAGTATCCTGTCTACCGACAGTGGCCAGCACCAGGTGCCCCAGAGAGGGTGGACCGAAGACAATAATCAAGTGATTTGTCTTCTGCCATCCCTCTCCAGCCTCTGACAGACAGAGGCCAAGGACACCATTTTATCCCCTGGCTAATAGCCTTTTATGGACCTAACCTCCATGAAATTATCTAGCTTCTCTTTAAACTCTATTATAGTCCTAGCCTTCACAGCCTCCTCTGGCAAGGAGTTCCACAGGTTGACTACACGCTGTGTGAAGAAGAACTTTCTTTTATTAGTTTTAAACCTGCTACCCAGACAGCAAGGACCTCTACAAAAGAGATCTCTCCTCTTCCTATGCTCTATACAGGCAGTCCCCAGGTTACGTTCAAGATAGGGACTGTAGGTTTGTTCTTAAGTTGAATCTGTATGTAAGTAGGAATCTGTATGTAAGTAGATCCCCACAGCGCCGCACCTCAGCGTTGCGGGGACCAACCCGGCAGCACCCCAGCTGCTCTATCCCAGGTGTCCCCAAGTCAGCCGCTGCTGAAACTGATCAGCGGCTGATTCCAGGAA